AGAATGGACCACTATAGACCCTTCTAAACCTAAACTAGGGAAGATAGTATATAAATTAACGACTTACCTTAAGAGCGAGGTAGATATACTAGAGAATAAAATTAAAGGTAAGCGAAGCTAAATATATGCTCGACTAAAGTAGCGATTACGTGTCCTAGGTAGTAGCCACGAAGCAAGGGATAAGCGCGTATATAAACTAATAAAAGTAAACTAGAATCTCGAGTTCACCTATATTAAGAATAGTTATAACGTTATAGGAACTTAGTTACGGATATATAGATACACGATAGATTATAGAGACTTAGGATTATATATACTTAAGTACTTCGGGGCGAAGTATAAAAAGAAGAAGGATATTATTAGGACGGGAACTATAACGGACCTATATAGACTATTCTAATCTATACAGCCACGTAGTGGCCAGAGCTGGGTTAAGTTAGCTAAGTTAAGCGAGGTTACTATATAAGTGGACCGTATAAACCGATTCCTACTCGTTAGGAATCAACCTCGTATGAGAGTAAGATTACTCTATAAATACATTCCTATATCTCTCTATGAACTGTTAGACTACTATCCCACGTCTTTACTCTTTACAATAACTATACTAACTAATCTATAAGAAGAAGAGGCTAACGTGTAATAGTATACTATATAAAGGAAGATAGAATAACCCTAGGGTATTCTTAAGGTAGCTACCGCGTAGAGATAGTCGCGCCTTAACGCTACTAGTATATAGGCTTAAGTATTTCCTAGCACCTAATAAGGAGTTAAGATATACTTATTATTATATAGGCGAATATATACTATAAATAAGAAAACTAGGCTATGCTTCTAGAAGAGATAGACGCTATAATAATAGCTATTTAGGAACCTTATAAATACTACTAAACTAATAAACTAACGACACACCTAGAATACTATACTATCTACCCCCCGGGCCTAGATAGGAGAGTTCTCTTCTATATATATAAATCTATCCCGCTCTTAGAATAGTTCTATATAGAATAAGATAATCTCTAGATAATACTATACCTCTAGATAGATATAGGGCCCCTCTATATCTATAATATCTATAACTAGAGAGAATTACTTATACTAGATACTATACTAGAGAGTATTACGGAACTAGAATAATATATCCTTCTAGATAACTTTAACCTCTACTATAGATAGTAGGGAGGCCTAATAGTTATTAGGGAAGAGCTTAGAGTAAGAGAGCTATATATAAGGTACTATAACCTTCTATACCTTCTTACGCCGGTTAGATAAATTATATAGAGGAAATATAAGGAAGATAAGGAGGGATCTATACTTAACCTTACCTTCGCTATAGAATATATAAGCTATAGAGTATAATACTACCGCCCTAGTAAGACGTAAATAGACTCTAATTATAAATATATAGAGACCGCGATAGATATATCTATACCTAACGAATAATAGGGGAGATAGCTATAGAAAGATACTAACTAGGAGAAGTATAGGAAGAACCTAGGATCGGCGATTCTAGACCCCTCTATAGTTAACGTCTCTAATAGCCTAGCTATAGATAGAGCCGTGTAAGTTCTTCTTTAAGCCTTCTAAAACTTAAGAGATAAATACGTACTATACTAAACGTATAAGCCTCTAGACGTAAGGGGTATACCTTAAATATATAAAAGTAGAAGGGTAGCCCGGAGACTATATACACGCGTATACTATATCTAGATAACTAAGGCATAGGAGGAATAGAAAGAGATAATCCAATCTTAAGATAAGACCCTCTATAATAAATAATATAAATACTAGTATATAATTACTAATAAATATATATAATAGACTATAGGGCTATAGTATATAGTAAAGTAGGCTAAGAGCGCGGACGTGTAGACGCTACTACTACTAATACCTCCCCTAATATACTAGGGGAGAATATATACTACGAGCCCCGAAAAGATAGAGATTCTCTAAGAAGTTATATTTCCCCCCCTAGAGCTAGTAGATCTATTAGATATTAATAATAATATATATCTAGACGCGGTTAATATCCCCGTAGAGATTACGGAAGAGAAGATTCTTAATACTATTAGAGTACTCTCGAACGATAAAGTGTCTAGACTAGATAGAATACTAAATAGATACCTTAAATATACTATATAGGTGACCCTACTACTTATTAGCCTTATCTTCTAGATATATACTAAGAATAGATACCACCTCTAAAGCTTCCGGGCTGTCTATACTATTATACTTCTAAAACTAGGGAAGAACCCTAACTCCCTAAAAGGATAGAGACTAATTACCCTTCTCTTCTATCTTAGTAAAATACTTAAGGCCACGATTACGAAGAAGATAAGTACCATAGTATAAGAATATAACCTTCTTCTAGTAAATTAGAAGGTGAAAACTAGGAGCTCCCTAATTACTACTATCTAATATATCCTTAAAGTTATCTAGACTATATAGAAATAGAGACGCGTAGTAACATTACTCTCCCTTAATATAGCCGGCGCATTTAATAAGATAAACTATATAAGACTTATCTATAATCTATAGAAGAGATATATACCCGAATAGATTATAAGGTTTATATAGTCCTTTCTTACTAAAAGAATTACCTAGATATATATCTCTAGATATTAAAGTAAATATAAGAAGATAATATATAGTATTCTATAAGGAAGTACTATCTCCCTAATTCTCTTTCTCTTCTTTACCGTAGACCTTCTATAGAGAATATAATATATAGAGGTAGTAGGATACGCCGACGATATATACCTCCTAGCTATTAATAATAATACTAGTTTAATATATAAACACCTCGAATAAGACTATAAGAGATATATCTAGTAGATAAAGCGCTATAGAGTAAAGTTTGCCTCTAAGAAATACTAACTTATATACTTTATTAACTACTATAGGAAATAGGCTACTAAGGAAGGAGAGTAATATCCTAGAATAGATGCTTTTACTAAACCGCCGATATAGAGTATATACGTACTTAGCGTTATAATTAATAATAAACTTAAATAGGGCCTATAGATTATATATATAGTATCTAGGGCCCTTAAGGTAGAAGCCGCTATATACTAGATTACGGCCTCTATATAGGAAACCGCCTAGGATAAGGTACGCTAACTATATATCTCTATAGTATAACCCGCCTTCACGTATAGATACGAGTACTAGTATATAGCCCTTATATAGGCTAGGCGAATAAAGCTTAAGTCTATATAGAACTATATACTCTATCTTATTTCTAGCGTATATAAGGCTACTAATATAGTACTACTACGGCGCGAGATAAACGTAATAAGTATATATAACTTCTACTAGATATAGAGGGTAATATACTTTACTAAATAATAAGTATAGGAACGCGTAGGATACGCTAAATATACCTTTACCGTGCTATATATATAAGTTAGTATCTACTATTAAGTACTACTATATATAGACTAGAATCGACTATAGTATAAGAGCCTAATAGAGATAGACTTAAACTAAATTATATAAGAGATCGGGGATAACCCAGACGCCTCCCTAGACCGGTAGAACCCTTAAGAGCTTATATAGGCTATACGGTTATAGACCTAGGATAAATAGAAGAAAGTCCTCTAGACCTATTAGGTATCCTAATAGAATAGATATCTAGAATAGATTTAGGGACTATAGAAGGAGCTAAGTAGATAGATATATAAGGGGCTTATAAAAGCCTAAGTATGTATCCTCCTCTAAGCCTAAATAGAAGCTATAGAACTTCTATACTATCTATACTAGAGGGGCGTTCTAGACGCGTCTCTATAGTATAAAGTATACGGCCGGAGAGATATAATATAGTACTATCTCGCGATATACCCGGACCTCTATATATAGAGATAATCGCTTATCTATATAATAAGGACCTCTAATATTATATAGTAGCTTAATAAGTACCCTAAGGAGATCGCCTAGTAGATACTTATATATCTCCCTCTTCCCTAATACTAATAGACCTAGATATATATACTAGAAGTAACTAGGTATATACTAGATAGACCCCGGTATACGCCGGAAGAACCCCGGGAGAACCCCGATTATTAGTTAAGGGTAACTCTTAACTAATAACCCCCGTACTCTATACGTGCTACCTAAGGGTAAAATAATAGTACTATAGGTTATAGGTCTATAGATATTCCTAACGGCTATATACTTAAGATAATACGAAGGTTTCACAAGATATAATTATAGAGAAAAGGGAGTTTTTCCTTATATAAAGGTTTCTTCTTATATAATAGCTTAGACTAGAGAAGGTATACGCCTATAGAGTAAACTACTCTACCTAGTTATATAATATTATTATTATTATTATTATACTAATCTCTATTACTCTTCTTACTACTATCTCTATCTCTTCTAGTTATATAATCTCTATCTTAGCTATTATAAGTAGAGTAATACTTAGATAAAATAAAGATAAAGAGCCCTAAAAGATAAGAGAAGGATAAGCTAAGTATCTATTATCGCCTTAATAGTAAGTCTAATATTATAGATAGTCTAATCTAGTAGTAGCTAGATAGAAAGAATAAGTTTTCTTACCTTTATAAACTTATAATTAATATACTCTCTATACTAGCTTTAAGCTATAATAATAAATATATATTTAGTAAGGTAGAAGATATAATTATACTATAACGAAGTAAGATAAGTCTACTATTAATCGACTATCTATAAGATTTAAAGAGTTAGTAGCGTTATAGCCTTATCTATAACTAGTAGTTTACGTAAAAGTATACTAGTTAGTTTCTTATTAAATTTAGATAATTTAGTACTTAAATCTACCTAGGTATATACTAAGACGTATAAAAATCGACTATATAGCCTTAAATATATAATATTTTAACTATATTTACGAGATTCTTCAACTACCTACTAAACTTTAGTTTAACTTAGTTAACTATAATTCTACTACTATAACTAATAGTTTAGTTTAAATATATAGTAGAGTAAACTAAAGTACTTTAGTTTAACTTCAAATATAGGCATAGAATTGAACTAATTGTTTGATAGGAAGTCTGCTTCGAACTACAGCTATTTATTACCAAAGACTAGGAGACTTTGGACTAAGCTCCTCCCATATCCGCCTCTTTGTATTAGCTGTCTTCCACGATGAACTGGAAATTCTGCCACCGTAAGAATCCTAATCTTCTCGGCGCTGACCCCAGTCTGCTCCAACAGCTCTAACACTGCACACATTGTCCTTCCAGTGGATAGTACGTCATCCACAATAGCTACGGAGGCCCCTCTTGGCAGAGCATCACGATCCATCTCAAGCCTCTCAGGTTCTTTGGCAGTCTGACCTACAATTGATATGTATGATTGAGGCTTTAGTACTGAAACCGTTGGACGCGGAAGCTTTCCAGCTCGACGGATCAAGATGAGAGGCTTCTTGACTTGAATTGCCAAGGCAGATGCAAAGATGAACCCACCAGCTTCACAAGATACGATGGCGTCGATATCTGACCAAGAGCCATGGAAGTGGGCCTGTAGGAGTGAAGTGCAGAGGCTCAGACCTCCGGGTCGTTGTACAATTCCAAGAATGTGACAAAAGTCTGTGCCGGGTGTAGGAAAGTTGCGTACTTTGTTTACCAACTCAGCCAGGCTCCGGAGATCTTCGTGGAGGTATGGGAATAGATAACGTGTCGCAAATCCTTTGGCTAGTTCGGGCCCATTTGCATTGTTCTCGAAATTGAGACAAGGACGATGCTTGAGAGCCATTGATTCGAGCTTGTCTCTGCCATTAGAACGGACCTCCCGTACATTTCTACTGGATGTAACGCGAACTTCGACGACTCGGCATGCTGGGACTAGATAGGATAAAGTTGCCACAGGAGCATCGTCCCGGATGCCAGTGATGAATAAGACATCTGCAGCTGCAGCCCCGGCCACTGTATCGAGGAAGTGCTCCTCAGGAAGCTGTGGATTCAGCGCCATCTGGTGCTGCCAGAACAATGTTAGGGCCGCACGGTGCTCCTCTTTGTAGGCGCGATCATAGAGGAGCTGGTCTAAATCACATCCAGGTGTAGCGGCCGCATAGTCTTTCTTTGCTTGGTTACTGATACTGATCACTTGGGCGTAGTTAGCTTTGGGCATGCATGCATTGATAGAGTCGGCCCATATCTTAGCACAATAATCCTTGCCAGCGCACGTATCTCCGCTCACAAGAACAATGAGTTTCTGTCCTTGAGTGATTGGTGGTAGGGGGCATGCATATGCTAATACATTATAAGGATCAAGTGTGTCCTTCAGTCGAGCAAGGCGAGGTCGGTTGGACCCGAATGCTTTGGCTGCGAGAGGGAGGTCCCGTGGATCTGGCCCTAGGTCCGCACCATATATACCACTGCATAGCGGTAGGAAACTGTTCACGGTGTCATACACCCATCCCACGGTACGTCTCGAAATAGGTGTGCCATCCTTGTCTCGCTTCCAGACGCCGGTAATCACGCAGGCGTATTCCCAGTCGCGGCAGCCGAAAGCAGTTGAACTCTCTAAGACATCAGCCATGGCTCCTCCACCATGTAGTAGATGGACATAGCAAGACTCCGAAGGGGCAGAAGATGTAGCTCTGGAAAGGTTCTCACGAACTTCTGCTGTTTCTATGCTCTTGAGAAAGACACATCGTTTGAAAGACGACGTCTTGCCACTCCCATGGTCACCCGGCATGCTTGAGATGTGGTATTCTTCATCAAAAAGGCCATTATCATCAACAATACTAGAGTGGTGGGCCGTTGTGCTCTCCTTCATGGGTACTAAGCCTGCAAAGCGGAGCTTCGTGGTGGAGGTTTTAATGACCGACCACGCTAGTATCTGCTGACCTTTGTAAGTATATAGGTAGGCATCGACAGACTCTTCACGAGGAGCCTTGCTAGCGAGCAGCCGATGAAAATTTCCAAGTTCCAAACAGACCTCGTCTGATGTGGAAAGTCGTAGCTCGTAGTGCTGAACAGAGTGAACGAGAGCTGGAACAGCTTTGAATATGACGTGGGTGACAATGCCAAAATTGGTTCCAGCTCCCTTGATTGCCCAGAGCAAGTCAAGTTCGAATTCTGGACGGGTGGCACCCGCTGGTCTGTATTGAGCTGGCACATTCCCAATGTAAAATATTTGACCAGACTCGACACCAACAAGGACAACTCCAATGATGGAGTCACACGTAAGGCCATACTGCCTACCAAGATGACCGATGCCACCTTGTAGCCATAGTCCTGCACCGACACTCGGACGAGATCCCAAGGGAATACTCAGGCGTTCTGCCATTGCTCGTTTGACAATATCTCCGCCCTTGCAGCCGGTGCCAGCAACCACCAGAGACTCTATGTCTGACCTTTGATTCTTGATGATATGAATCTGGTCGAATGCCTCCATATCGATTGCTACCACATTGGACCATTGGCAGTGCCCACTGTGGCTTCCGCTCATGACACTAAGGCCTACTTTGTTTTTAAGTGCCCATCTTACGCACTCTTGAACTTGAACATGATCCTTTGGTCTTAATATCGCAGCGGGATGATTCAGTCGTGCTTCGGAATTCTTGATTCTCCTTCCAGGCTCGGCTATGGGAACTTTGTCTATAAGTTCCGTCAGCGCAGTCGCGCCATGATTGAACGTGACCATCATGGTAGGGCAAGAGAAGGATATACGAGTGGGCTTGCTCATCTCATGCTTTCCGTACTCACGGCATACCGCGCGCCACTTGGGCCGGATACTCTTATCTGTATCCACTTCACTGGGCTTGAAACCTGCCACGAATGCAGAGAAGCGATCCAGAGCTTCATCACTTTCTTCAACCTGAACTTGCCCCGTTGTATCGAACACGTTGTCGTGGCACACAAGGCTACCGAGATCCAGCGAAGTGCCTCGATGAACCACAACCACGATCCCAGCCTTGGTGGCCATACTAAGAGCTTGACGAACGACCTCGTGCTTCGGAGATAGTCCGTATAGACTTTGACAGAACAATATCAGGTTGTACTGGGGTGTGGAGTTCGCTATGGATGGGCGCGAGTCTATCCCGAATCTTTCTACATGAATAGTAGACTTGTCGCATAATGATGGAAACGGAGGATCAATTCCTGTGGTAGGTTCAAGCCACTCTTGTAACTCCAATGCGAATAAGACATTCGGCTCGAAGACATCGAACTTGGTGATGCTTCGACGAACATCAAGAGGTAGTGCACCAAGAACACTTCTTGGTCCTGGACCGACTTCAAGGCAAGTAAGGCTTGTCTGAAATTTAAGAAGATAAGATGTAACACGTGAGAGTTGAGGAACAATGAAGTTTTCGTAGATCAACGCACCCGATCCGTTGCGTATGATGGCAAAACCATTGCCGTATTCTTCGTCTGTCAGAGGTCGTCGATTGAATGGCATGTACGCATCGGCCTCTAGACGAAGATGTTTCTTGACATCTTCGAGTGTGGTCATGTTGTTACTGACGAATGTTCACAGTGAAAGTTAGGGGTGCTCGGCGATGGTTATAGTCTGTGTAAGTTCGATGGCGGTTCCAGTGCAGAAAAATGGAAGACAAGATTATATACCACGGTCTGCGAGCTACCTCGCATGGCAATGTTCTCTCTTGATTGCAGATTGTGGCTAGCAAATCGATTGTGAAGAGGACTCAGGGGTCCCATGATATTTGCGCACGGCTCCTAATATACATGCAGAAACAAGCAAGGTTTGAGACGCATAGCAATAAATTCAATATCTTGGCGTCACATATACAATCAAACCATGTCCGGAATGAGTCACCTGTATCACTAGTCGTATCTTCTTTGCATCTCACCTGCTCCGGGAATTGTAGAGCAGTAAAAGTCCTACGGAAGTGCACATTAAGACGTCGTGTAACCGTCTATAATTAGCTAGAGCTATCAGGATAGAGTCATCCGCTCTTGTGCTTCCAGTGGATTTTGGCATGATCTTTGAATGATTCCATTGCAATACCCCTGTTTGTCAATGGTGGCTCCTGGTTAAACATCAAGCTGAAATGCCCCTTAAAGGTACCTTAAACGGCAGGTATTATGCAATAATAGCAAACGTAGATAATTATCCATTCGTTTATTGATCACCGATTCTATCCACTCACTTTTGTACTCAGTAAATCGGAACTAGTCAAACACGGAGTTGATCGTTCACCCCTTTATTCCATCAGTGCCATTTATAGCACGCTATCTCAATGAATCTTAGCGACGATAGACTGAAATATTCCTTGGCTTGGTTTTGACCTTACAACAACTTACTAACATTTGATTAACAGAAACTACTACGTGTTATCCTGAGTATTCTGGGATATTGTGCACTTTTTTCTATTGAAACTTCCTAAGCTGAAGTAACGAATGTATCTAGTTGGTACGCATGAAACTGAAGTCAAAACTCGCCTTTCTCGATGTATTCTCTAGTACACGCTGACGATACGTCTCGTGTGCCAGAGAAGTGACACATCGTTCTCAAAGACCACAGCTCTTCTTACACTCCTCCATGAGCGCCAGCCCCTGCTTCGCCGCCTCTCTGACCCGACCGATCTCCTCCGCACCGAGACTCTGACCAAACACATCCTGTAGTAACCCTTCATTCAGAGAAACTAAACTAGGTACGATTGCGATGACCCCTTCGTCATCGCTCGAGAATGCCGCCGCCGCAGTCGCATTCTCACACGTTGGATTGATCTGCAGGTGGAAGCCACCCTGAGGGAAAACAGTCATCTGGCCTGCGGTCAAAGTGTTGGATATGATGCGGGTATTTGGGTTCGCAGTATTTGATGTTGACGGTAGAGGACCAGCGCCGAATTCGGGGATCAGGGTGGTCTGAATTGTACCGGAGGTGACGAGGAACAGCTCAGTGGCTCGGGGGTGGATATGGACTGGGGCTACAACGCAGGCTACTCATAAATGACGTTAGTTGTTCCCGTCGTGATCATGAGTTCGGGTGAGGGCGATTGAGAACATACCTGGAAAAGATGCCGTAGCCATGCTGACTCCGGTGCCAACGAGCGCTGGGAAATTCTTGCGATTGGGCAGCTGCGGGCTGGCAGTATTGAAGTCGTATACGAAGTCAGAGTCATTCGGCAGGAGGGCATATCGGTCGGCAGCACTACATGAATTTGTCAAGGCTGTGATATCCATCGATCATTTGTGACGTACGTGTCTGCCAGAGTAAGTTGCTGCGTCAAACTAAGACCAGAAGGAGATTCTCTAGTGACTGGACGAGGTGCAGCGTGTATGGCAGGAGACAAAGCCATGATGGCAAGGAAGACATGAGGAGGAATCTTGGAAATCATTTTGTTTCTGAAGATAATCTTGATTGCAAATTGATAGTGTTGATTTGGAGTCTGATGTTGCGAGTAAGTGAGTTGACACTTTTTTTGCCTGCCATCTCAACATCTTTATATCTCGAATATATACACTGCCGCGTTTACGACTGCAAATTGTTCCAAGGCATTTCGCTCTACAAGGAATGATCGTCTTTCCGTCTCGTAAGGCTAGCAGTGCTCTTGCTCACTTATGAAGCGTATAGGCGTTATACGCACGAGGTCAGCATACGCAAACGCACCTGACTTTTATTTTGCTGGCACTTGGGGTAGGCTTAGCAGCTTAGTGGCTACGTGACAAATCGACGAATGTTCCCTGTCAGCCCAAGCCAACGGGGCTGAAATGCTTACAACTTAGCATGCCAAATTATTATTGTGGTTGGACCGCGGCTGAGTTGGTCCCGGAGTGGCCCGTTCAATATTTCCACTCCATCCATTCCACCCCACAGGTGTCTGTTGGTTGTCCTGCATACACGGCATAGCTTTTGGAGCTCTCTAGCTTCACACTTTGCTATTTAGTACATGTAATTGTAATTGTCTGGTGTCCTTCAATGCGGGGAGTCATTTTCACACAAGCCAAGAAACCATGTCCCATCAACATCTACAGGCGTACTGATCCGAAAGAAACGAAGATCCGCATGTCAACTTCCGATGGAAGGAAGCCTCATTGATTAAAAGACCTCCCATGCTCAGTATCCGGGCCGCCATTCCATTTGTATTGTGTGTTGTCCGTCATCACTGTCTTGCTCTGGACTGGAAGTCCAAGATACTGACAATAATCAAGTCATCAACCACCTCATACCCTTTATTTTATCTACCTTCGGGATCATTTCTGCTGGCACAAGATCGGAAGCTCAAATCCTTTGTTTCTGGGCACATTTACTAATATGATATATCTGGTCTAGGATTCGAAAGTCACCAAGACCTCGAATTCTACTCTGTTCGGAGCTGTATCCACTCTCCATCCAAAGACACCCCTCGTGTGTAAAAAGTCCTCGATCTTATTGCTAAGCATCCTCGTGCATGATGAGTTGGATTTTGCGGAACACCCAACTTGGAGGAGCGGTACAAAGTATGTCAGAGAATTCCGACCGCCAGTGTGATTGATGCAAGCAAGGAAGGGCAAAGATGCAGATAATCAGAATTGTAAGCAAGTCCGGAAGGAGATTCTGTTATAAGCCAGGAGATTTACGGTGAGACCCTGTCCGAGCCGATGCATTCAGCCGCAATATGGCTGAGCACACGGGAGTGCCCAGAGCGGGGCTCGACTGTTTGCCGGATCGCGCGGTACCAGACTGAGCCACCGGTTCTCGGATAGATCCATCACGCGTATAATATCAATCCTAATGAGCCCTCCCTTCTAGAATCAAAGTCCGACCATAGACAGACATCTCATTCCTTACGCTAATTACTGCTCGCGCCATGTCAATGATGTCGATAACATCTGAGTTCAAGTTTCGCAGACCTCATGGAAAATCCAGGAATGGATGTTTGCGATGTAAGCAGCAGAGAAAAAAGGTAAGCCATCGAAACAACAGTCGATCCATTGCATTGTCGTAAGCGGTATCTGGTCAGATGGCTAAAAATGAATACAGTGTGACGAAATAAAACCATCATGTTCCCGCTGTGTAGCATACGGATATACATGTTGCTATCCTCAAGCCAAAAGCTCCCAGAAGAGTCTTGTGAGACTAAAACGTCAAGTACTTGATGGCATATCAACACGATCCAGTACCCGCGAACTATCGATATTGAAAGAATATGCTACAAAACCGCAATCATTTGGGCGAATCGACACACCTACACCGCTTGCAGAGAGTTTTGGCTTCTTTGGAGCGACTGAACTTGTGCTTTTCGGAGATTACATAACCAGAACCGGACGCCTTGTCGCATTCGATCAAGATGAACTGTATGTACTGCAAGTCGGCGTGCCCAACCTTGCACTGCGTAGCCGCCCGCTCATGGCCTCTGTCCTTGCATTTTCCGGTGTTTCAAGATGCTTTCAGCTCGCCCAAGGCAAATCAGTCACACAAGCTATCATGAACAGGATTGTTCACACTCTAGAACTTGCAGGCCAGCACTACCAGATCGCACTGCGCGAGATGCAAGTAGCAGCTCTCGAGCCAGGGTGTTATGATATTGTGCTGGCAAATGCGGCGCTCATGGTTATGTATGGTTTAGCCGATCAAAGTCTGCGGATACGGCTGGCGATGATGACGATAGAAGGGAAAACAGAGCCAGATTCTCGGGTACAGCCCGGTCAGGGGGACTGGATGATGTTGGTGAGGACTGCGCATTTGGCTTTTGTAGGGGTGCTATCGAGTCCGGAGTATGTGCATGATGGGTATCCATCGTGGGATTGTAGCGAGGATAAGCCTGGATACGAACGAACAGCTGGGCATGAATGTGTGGTTTTGTGTCCAGAAAGCGGACCAACAAAGGAAACAAGTCGACTTGTCCTGCCAATCATCGCCGGCACGTATTCATGTGCATTCGAGAAACTCCGAACTCGTGTGGAATCGCAAAAGCTTGACATGCTATTAGATGGCGACCACACATACGAGTCATCACCTTCCAATCGTCTTCGAATCGATGATTGCGTAACGGCTATGGAGGTCTTGCAGAAGGTTGCGTCGGCAATGTTTTCAAGTGAAGATCATTCTCCACCCGGACACATGTCGCCGAATTCTCACATCTTTCGCAACAATACGCTTCCAACCAATGGCTCGCCATGGCTGAGGACATACCTGGCACGAGTAACATCTGCTGAGCCATCGAAGCTTCTTCGTAGAACCATCATGTCCTTTCTGAATCTAGTACCGACTAATTTCATTACCTTTGTCCAGCACGTAACAACGGTGCCAAAAGAAGTGAACTCCTTACACCTCAACATACAACCTGCTGGATCGCATTATGGGCGATGGTGTCCAGTCGAACAACTGGCTGCAGAAATCTTCGCCTACTGGCTTGTATTGGTGACTCTTCTGGATGGTGTCTGGTGGATTGGAAACCTCGGGGAATGGGAGCTTGAGAGGTTCTTGTCCATCGTGGACCTTCAATGCTCAAACCATTGTTCGAAGGAAAGCTGGTGGCCTCGAAGCATGCTGACAGTGAGGAAGCATATACTGCGATAATGAGATCGGGTTCGAAAAAGAAAGAGGATCCAAGGGTACACCGTAATTCGACGTTATCGCTAGTAGTACATGTTCCTATACGGACGGTTTGCCTCCGGGCCTCGTACAAACCGCAATCTAGTCATGCGTCCTTCGGGTAGTGGCATATGCTTTTCGCCATAGCGAACGTAGTCACCTTTGACATACTTCGCCAATGTCGCACTTTCAGCATTGTCGCCAAGGTGGCTTAGAACATCAGCGTCAAACGCATTCGCGATCTCCAAGGGCGACAGCGATACATTGCGGCCAAGATTCCAGTACCCCCAGAATGTCGCGGCAACAGCAACTATACCTAAAAGAGAGACTAGTGCAGAGACGGCCAAGTATACCCGGTCCGTAACGTATATGTCGTCGAAGTAATACCCATGGTATGTCACGTTCTGTTGGTAAGTGTTTTGGGCCAAAGTCATCGCCGTGTTGTTTCCTTGCGCATGGGACCAGGCTTGGTTTGCAGCTGCTATGGACGCACGCAATGAAAGTTCGCGGACAGCAATCAACATTTCTTCCATTGGATCGTTAAAAGTGAACAGTGGGTCATAGGGCCTACCATTGTCCTTGACATACTGGTTGGCCAGATTTCCTGTCAAGTCAGTCGACGAAACAGCACCACCAAGGAAGTAGATAGCTGTCGAGTTGAACAGGGTGTCTATGGCCTTCTGGAAGCCGCCGATAACGTTGGGCCCACCAGTTGGCTGATTGGTCGGTCCTAGAAGCTCGACTTCTCTTTCGAAGGCGTCAGAACGCCAGTCGGGGTATTTGAAGTTGACGGAGTGGGCAGTCAGATTGAGCTGATACGCGGTGACGCCCCCGTGAAGGTCGCAGGAGTGACGCTTGAAGGACACTTTGGCAGCATGGGTAGTCGCATTCGTTTCGACAGGGACATCATCGACTCGATACCTTGCGTTCAGTGTGATGAACGAAGGCACCGGGTTGTAAAAGTCGTTAGAAGTCCAATTAAGAGAAGCCCAGGACGCGAACAGGGTCTGGTAGGTACCAACTTTTACGACATCTTCATACTCAACCTGCTCGCTGCAGTTGACTCGAAAGCCAAAGCCCTTGATGGTGGCATCGCATTGTTGGCCGCAACCAGAATGGGTGAGCTCTATTGTTTGCCGCTGCGAATACTCCTGCAAAACCTGGGTTAGATTTGGCGTCAGTCGTGCGGTCTGTCGAACGGCAGCCCTAGATAGGACTGGATACCCCCCAAAGGTATTAGGGAGCTCCTGTGCGATATTGACAACAGTGGTGCCATTAGAATAAACCACATGATTCGACTAAATATTGGTCGCTCGTTGATTGAGTGGTCCTCGACCAACGGAAATAACGGTGAAGATGCAAGCGATCGAAACTATAACGGCCTTCTTGTGGGACACACCTTGGATAGCACCAAAGAATGAAGTGCCAGAGTCCCAGATGTAATGAAGATCAGCGAGCTGTCAACGTTAATACGGGCTAAGTTCAGTGGCTGAACAAGTGTTGACCTACAGTGCAGCCGTCCAGTGCGGCAGTCCAAAAAGTTATGACCAACCCTTTGGCGAGCGCGAACACGAGAAAAATATTGGCAAGGACCGAAAGAATAGCTAGATACACAGCGGGTTGCAAATGAAGCTTTTCGTCCCATGCTGAAGTGCTTTTTCGGTCGCTGGTGATCAGTACGATGATACCTCCAATCGCGCCTTTGAAGCTCGTAAGTCTCATACCGAGAGAGGACAGGGATGAATCAGTTGCTGAGTGGTCACGTACAGAGCGTGCTTCCGATGAGGGAAGTGAAAGGGACCCATGGAAGTCGATGCCAAATACCGGGTTGCCATGGCTGGCGCTGGGGACCACGAGAGTTCTGGCCATCCGCGTGTCGGTTGTTGTTCAGAGGGTCGCCCTCAATCAATTGGTCCATACTCTTAATCGTACGCATCGAGGCGTCACTTGGGCGTAACGAGGCCTCACTGGGACGAGTCGAGAGGTAATATTTGGAGTCGGTGTCCATTGTTTTCGTTGTGAGAGAGAGCGAAAGCGTCAAAGCAGACAAACAGAGAAGAGCGGCATGAAGGCTTGTATGGGGATCGAAAACATAGAGAAAGCAAGAGGGAGAAAGAGAAAATAGTAAAAGAGTGCGGTCATCTAACGCCTAATAATACCTACTCATACATGGCAGCAAAATAAAATTGGCGCCGTCGATGACCGTGCCGAGGGCGACAGTGACATCGTGGCGAACCTGTGGGTACGAAGCGCCCCCCTATAATCATTTCCTGAAACCAGTCGGACGTGGAGCTGAGGCCTAAGAGGTAAGCCGATAGCTCAGTTGGAACATTGTATACTGTATCTTGTAGTATTTCCAGAGCATAGCCATGAAGAGATGGCCAGAATAGTGAAGAAGCCATTCATGGCCATCCAACGATTAGTAAGTAGTAATTAATGGCGGCGAGTGACAAGTGACAGTGACATCATTGGAGTGATAGCCACTAATCCAACTTAGTACTAGTGGGACTGTCAGAATTGAAAAGTCTGAAACGTGGCTGTGTCGATCCCGGTGGGTGACGGTTTCTGTTTCTGGTGGGACTTTCCATCCTGAGAACTTTTCTGGCACTACAGTAGCAGCTTCCACATTCCACCTCAAGATTCCAATAAAAGGGGCAGGAACAAGGGGCACAACAGGCAGTTTGTTGAGGGGCAGACGCACCTGCATTCTTGCTTTTCATGGCTTTGCGCCTCCCTGCGCCCAGATGGACGAGCCTCGGCTCGGCAGATCTGCCACCTACAGTACCTGTATGAGGATCGGGACGAGTCCACTATGATGGTAATTTTCATTCCAAGCTAGGCATATATATCCATAAAGCACCATGGGATCTAGTTCGCAATGCTCTTCACGCTCATTAGGGCACGCAAGAATACCGGCAACGTAGCAGCCTCTTTTGTACCCCTACGTTTGCGCGTGCAAGCTCATCACGAATGTGGATTTCCGGACTGTAGATGCTAGACACTGGCTTATGGTATCATGTTGCGATGAAGTCCATCAGCGGCACTGACGGGCCGAACAAGATCGTTGTCTGTGATAGACGACGATTGCCTACCTACACCAAACTCCGGTTACTACTTTAGAACTTCCACGACCGTATTGGCGGGAGCTCATGCAGGTCGGGTGTGATGTGAACTGAGTTGACTAGGTACCGTCTTCCGCCCGAGTGTTGTCAGTCTTCCCTTACACATTCGGGACAACTTAGTCGACAGCAAATTGAGCATATGGATGCGGTGGGTGCCTTGCTGGAGGGTGAATTGCGTCAACTGCAGAGCTACACTCTCTGAAATGAGCTGTTAGAAGCGTATGTATGAGAGAGAGTAGATCCTTTCTTTCAACTCCGCCCTAAATATATCGTCCGTTAGTTACTTCCTGAAATTCGGTTGGACCGAGCCGAATCAAAGGTATTATCTCTAAATCAAGCAAGTCTAAACAAACCCAGTTTGTCTCTGACATACCGTAGCTCAACGCCCAATGACATGAAATCACACTTTTACTATGTTGCTATATAGTTTCAGAGGATCTGCACCTTCCGACAGGAATACACAGTTTCTTGGTTCTAGATGCTTTATGTAAGGTAAGCATCGATCACGTTCTCGCCTGTAGTCCATCTCATCAATGAGTCCGTACGCAGCAGTATGCACAATGTTGACGACGAACGTCTGCCTGGCTTGGCGGATGTCCATGCATCCATGGTATTGACTGTGTCACCAGAGATGATGATTCCGAACTGGTCTTGATCCCAGTGCTGTTATGAACGACAGGATACATAGCGAGCACGAGGTCAAACGGATGTTCTGATGGTGGTGAAATCAAACTTGCGTTGGCGATTGCTTTTCAGGCGGCTTTCGGAGGCCGCTGCACGTGGCGATAAGCTTCTTATCCCCGCTCGTACGTAGTTCGCATCATCACAACTTTCACTTCGATCGTCTGATTTGACCTCTGACACGTTGAATCCATTTCCACATCTTGTCTCGGACATATGTACGTAATCTAGTCACAGCCTAGACTTCGTGACCATGACTAGCGACGACCAGCATTTCCTTCAGATAGTATGGACTCTGAATGCACTTGAAGACTGCTAATCTTGTATAGCTCGGCGGCATATCGCGAGACATACACACGTACGCCGAAGACTTGGCCGATGCTACAGACCGACACTTTGAATATGTAGCTGCGAGCATACGAGAAAAGCTCTCAGGGACCGGATGGCTTCCTGGCACTGCCCGATCTCCGCCTTCGCCTCCGCCTCGAATTCTGAAGAACGCATCGACAGGCTATATCGCAAGACTCCAAGAGTGGACCGATAAGAATCGCGCGCTCACATCAGCCATCATCGCGTTCTTGGGTACAGGCGCGTTTCTGATATACCGACAACGATTCGGGCACAACAAGAAGCGGAGGGCAAGAAGAGCTAGCAATGGTGCAAGGCGTGAAGTTGTTGCGATTGCTGGGCCCGCTGGCTCCCCAGTCACGAAGTCGATAAGTTTGGATCTTGAAAGGAGAGGCTTCATAGTCTACATTGTGGTAAACTCTACGGAAGAGGAGCAAATTGTTCAAAGTGAAGGCAGGGTCGACATCAAGCCGCTGAACCTGGACATAGTAGATGTAAGTTTTACAAGTCCACAGGAGGACATCAGTTGAGCGACACTTTTCGCAAAGACGAACCGCTTCAAGTGCTTCCAGGCCGAGAATCTGTGATAGTAGCAGAGCTGAAAACGCGTGCTGACAACTTACTAGCCTCTGAGTAGTCAGGACGCGATCGATCACTTTCGCAACATCTTGATGAGTCCGCATCAAGCATTTGCAGGCGCTTCCCCACACAACCTGCACCTCGCAGGTATCATCATGGTTCCCGATCTCATCTATCCATCTGGTCCCGTGGAGACAGTGTCCCCCGAGCTTTGGTCGGACGCTTTGAACGCCAAAGTGTTGAACACGATCGCAACAATACAAGCATTCCTCCCTGTTGTGTATGAGACGAAGGCTCGGATATTGGTGCTAGCACCTGGAGTCGTCTCTTCACTGAGGCCAGCATTTCATGCGGTGGAGAGCACAGTTGTCAGTGCTATAGAAGGCTTCACTGCGTCTTTACGAGCAGAGCTTGGGACGCTTGGCATTCCGGTGTGTCTAATGAAGCTTGGTACGTTCGACTTCAGCCACATAGGGAACAAGAATCAGCTCCGTGCAATGAGCCACAATCAGGTGCGGACATGGCCTGCGTCTTCGAAGACTCTGTACGCTCAGAACTACGTCGCACAGGGCGCGTCAGCAGAGCGGACGGGACTGTTCTGCGAGAATGGCAAAGGCTCAAAGGGGAGCTCTCTACGCGGCCTACACAACGCAGTATTTGATGCATTGACGGCGAGCAAGCCTAAGCGTATATGGCGAGTTGGTCGAGGCAGCGTGGCATACGACTTTGTTGGTAACTGGATACCAAGCGGCGTGGTAGGGTACATGCTCGGCATCCGACGAATGCCAGTAGAAGCCATGACAACGGAGCCGCGACTCGAAGACACAGTGCAGTCATGGGAGAAGGTGGAAAAGTAAGTTGGTGAGAGGGCACCCTCCAGCTGGCAGACTGCATGGAATGTAAGATTAGGCAACGTTCCACTCTCATTCACTCCTAGCAAGCGTAGACGACCATCCCCTGTACATATTAATTTGAGAGGACCTTAATCGATTCTCCATCAGCAGAGCGAATGCCTGTATCTTTTGACCCCAAACGCGACGCGACGGTACCCAGCCTAGTTTCTCTAATGTAGCACTTTAGCACTTCCCTCTAGAACATGGCAGGATCACTGGTATGGACTAACATACGACGGACGAATGAGATATGCAGACTTGGTTTCATGTGTTCTGCATTGTTGCCTTGTTGCCTTGTTTCCCTGTTGCCTTGTCGCCTCAATCTCCAGTACCAAGGGCTTGCATGAGGTGCTGCGCCTAATATAATACCTCGTAATAATACGCCCGCGATTGTTATTTCTACGAACCATGTGCACATGCCGGGAGAGAAAAGACGCATCGACTCGATTGTTGCATGTGTTGATGCGTCATGCGGGAGAAAACATTGCACTCTTGCACTGAGCCCCCCCCGACGGCAGCCAGAGCAACGGCAAACAGACAAAGAAGCCCTTGGACGCGGCTTGAGTAATGAATTATGGGCGAACAGAGTTGCTCTTACAGGGCCAGGGTGACTCTGAAACAGCCGGACGACATGGATGGGTACAATAACAACGATAAATCATCATTAACATACCTAATCCTAATCATAATTACACCTGCCAAGCACAACATAACCGGCCAGCCCGCCGCGACCCCTTTTGCATTTTGGGCGAGCCACCGCCAGAGCGAGTCAAGGGCCCGTGCGCAGGTCAGAACTCACCACCACCACCCTCTCTGCAACCATTCACTCTTCATTCACTACAACAGCCACCACCACCACCACCACCACGATCACCACCAGCAACCGTAATACCAGTTTCGCCCTCTCTCACCAGCCGGCGAATATCATTCACTCTTTACGCCATCGCCTCTCGTTCTATCCGTCCGCTCGCCGCCTGTCCGACCGCATTCGTTCACTCCATACCATCCATCCCCCGCCACTAACTGTCTGCGCCTCGCCCGTTACAATACAACTGCATCGCCTTTCCACTGCTTGCCACAATTCAGCCTCTTACCGTGCCAAACATACTCCGGAAGCAAAAGCCCTGCCATTGTTATCAGGACACTACACGCCATCCAATCTTGTATCCTCGCTCGTTCGCATCACTTCAAGACCGCCCGAGCGACCCTTGTCTGGAACCGTTCGTGTTATCACCCATGCAGGGCATCCTACTGACTATACCATTACCATACTCTGCAACATAATATAATGGCGAAACGACCGGATTATATCGACCTTCGCGCTCATTCGTACGACTCTACACGTTCAAACTATGACCTACCCTCCCCGCGAACTGGCGAGATACCTCCGGCGCTTTCACCGTTGGATGCATTTGCACTCCAGAGTCGTATGCTGGCAAGACATTTCGAGCAACCAAACAAGAATGGCAGACGTCTCAGTAGGCTACCGCCCAACACCGTTGAAAGTCAGTTCGGCCGATCGCGGCCGTTTCTCACCCGCACCATAACCGAGACAGCTGCAGACGAATACGAGCCAGACACGAGCGCAGAACAAATCATAACCCCGGAGAAAGTTGAGAATAGACATAAGTCGTTCTATCCAGTCATCCAATCGGACGATGCTCTTCTTCAGCCAACAAAACAGTCATCGCACTTCAAAAATGAGCTTTCTCCGGTTGGAGAGGGATACTCACCTACCCAGGGATCGGAGTCGCAAATCGACTACTTCCAGATCCCACGAGCGCTGTCGCCAGACTTTCTAGACGGCAAGCCTGCGAATGAATCTCGAGATGTCACTCCCAATCAACGGGACCACTCCTATCCACCCCGAGACAAGCCGAGGAAACTGACTGTCAGCTCGATCGCATCGGGCGGCTCAGGCAATTCTGGGCGGTACAGCCCGAGTCCTCATCTGCTGCCACTACCCCAAGCATCTCCAGGAATACCAAAATCACCGAGGAGTATACGTTCGGTGCCTGTGGAGCCAACAGATGATTTTGACGGCTTATCGCTAGGGGGCTCCTACGACTCTCTTCCAACGCAGCACATGTCATCAAATTCTAGTTTTTCCAACAGAGCCCCGTCACCGTTCTCTCCCATGATTGGGTCTTCAATTCCCAGATCACCCTCAGTTTCGTCGGAATATTCTGTCGGGGGCTCCAGACTGGGTAGACCCTCGTTCAACTTCTCGAGGCCACTCAGTGCGCGTCCATCATTTGACGCAAGAACGCCTATTGAGCCTCCTCCACGACACACGTTGGAGCATGGTCACGAATCAAGACCTTCACTCGAAGTGCCAATCCGGCAAGGTTCCGGAGACAGCTCACAACACAACTATCCTCTCCACGAAGTACACACGCCTGTCAGCATGACCAGTGATGAGTACCACTCTGCCAGAGAAGACGACCCGCATGGCACAGCGGGATCATACATCTATTCGAAATACAGTTTGCCGCGAGGCCGGGCCTTGCAGCGCGAGTCCATTGGTCCAGCAGAGTTTATGAACAAAATATGGGAAAATCCATCGAACCGGACGAGCGTCACAGGAGCCACCAGTGCTCGACCGCATTCGCCACCATCGCCACCGCGGACTGGGAACAGCATGCCAGAGCAGAAGGACAGTCTGAATACGGTGCCCATCTCGACGCGCGGTGCCTCGTTCGACGAGCAAGTTCTCGCACGGCCCAGCCAGCACGTCTCCAATCCGTCTGCGCCATCCATCGCCTCGAGTAATAGCACCATCAAGGCAAGTGCGACGGCAAGCCCAAGCACCGCGTCCAAGCCCATGTCCGACTGGACGGCCGAAGAACACCTTGAGAAGGGCATTGAATGCCACGAATCCGGCTCACTCCAGAAATCCACGTACCATTTACGGTTCGCTGCGCGCGGCGGGCATCCGACCGGCATGCTCCTCTACGCACTCGCCTGTCGGCACGGCTGGGGCATGCGGCCGAACCAGGCAGAAGGCGTGAAATGGCTCAAGCAAGCCGTCGACCTGGCGCAATCCGAGGTGGCCGAAGACGAAAACTCGACCAAGCAGGGCAAGCCGCACGACCGCATCTCGAGCAAGACACACAAGGCGCAGTTCGCGCTCGGCATCTACGAGCTTGGAGTCAGCTACATGAATGGCTGGGGCATCAACCAGGACAAGAAGATGGCGCTGCGATGCTTTGAGATTGCGGGCAACTGGGGCGATGCGGACGCCCTGGCCGAGGCCGGGTACTGTTACACTGAGGGCATCGGCGCGAAGAAGGATATGAAGAAGGCGGCAAAGTTCTACCGAGCGGCCGAGGCGAAAGGCATCAGCATGGTTGGGAATAACTGGTACGTCGTGTTCTCCTTTCACCTAATTATCCATCATTTCCTTGTTCTCATTTCGAACATGTCAAAGTCATTTGTCGCATTTTGCGAGCCAGGCAGGCAGGAAGGCAGACAGGCAAACAGTCAGTACAAGCTAACAATGACTTCTAGGATCTACAAGGACAAATACATGGACCAAGACGGCGCCGCTGCCGCCGCCGCCTCCACCGACGACTCATCCGACCGTCGCCCACGCACCGCCAACAAGGACCCGTCATCGACGAAGAAGCCGCGCGACAAATCGCGAACGCGCACAATCTTCGGTCGTAAAAAGTCCATTGTCGCGTCTTCTTCTTCTTCTTCGGCGGCGGACGCTGCGCCGGCCTAATGACACACTCCTCCCTCCCATCCTGTCTTGTCTTGTCTTGTCTTGTCTTTGTCTCTGTCTGCAGAGTTATTTTCCCCTTTTTTTTGTTTTGGGCGGGCGGGGTTCGTTGTGAGCACGACTTTGTCCAAATACAGCGGCGGCGGCAGGTGGCGGCAGGTGGCGGCGTCTTAATCATGCATACCTTTTGTCTTGTCCTCCTCCTCCTCCTCCTCCTCCTCCTCTTCCTTTTTTCTTTGTATTTTTTGGGTTTGGGGAGAATGGAATGAACCCCTCTTCGCATTCTCACATCTGGGAGGTTTTTTTTTTTTTT